CAGAAGGTCACAAGATGTCGCCTGCTGCAACGCCTCGACTACGCCCCCAAATGAAAAAATAAATATTATTTTAAAATCCTTGCGCATACAACGCGCAAACTTAAAAGTGCTACAGTTTTGCAATCGCTACATGCTGTTGGAAGCTTTTTCTGTCAAAGCAATTTTTCGTCTTGTAGTAAAAAATTTGCGAGACAAGTAGAAAAGGGTATTTTTTTCTTGTTCTCAAATGGGGAAATGTGGTCCTATGCGCTCAGTATGAGGTCATTTTCCTCGACTCCGTCTCTACAAATTTCCAGTCCAAATCAGCGTTAAGAGGATTTGTTTCATGGGCTGAAAAGTGTTCAGGAAAACTTACTCAGTGTGCAATGCGGTTAAAGAGGAATGGAAGCTGTGGCTGAGGTTATATTTCGTGCACGTGTGTGTGTTCCTAAACAAGGTTACTGAACCCTGACTTTGTCTCTCACCAGTCACCACCCAGCGAGTAAGTCAGCCAGTCATGGGACAGACAAGCAGCTCACCTGAAAGTCATATGAGACTTTTCTCTATAAGTTGAACAAAACAGCGTGCTCTGCAAGGTGAGTAGAAAACGAGCAGGCCCTCATTCACGGTTGCCGCTGTGGCAAAAACAATTCTTCGCCCGCGAGAAAGTTCAAGGCCTCGAAATAAATAAATCAGATATTCAGTATTGTATGATTGAAGGAAAAAATTAGTGGAATACCAGTTTGTAGGTGAGACTCTTATACGTGACCTGCATTTTAAGACTTTAAACTCGGCGATTAAGTAACGACAGATGGAAAATTATCAATTGGATATGATTAGGAGCGGAGGTGTTTTTTTAACGGAGAAGGTGGAGAAAGCTACTTTCAAACGCAGTGAAATAATTAAGGCGTTACCATGAGGGGAAATGAAAGCTCTTCCTTTTTCCTTTTCTAGCCAAAAAAATCTGTTTTTCGTATCAAAACTGTTTATACGTGGCCAGCTGAACGAAATGGAAAACAGGTTGTTGAGAAGAAAACACACAGCTATCAAAGCAACACGAGGACAAGGATTTCCATTTCTGAGCAACTCACAGACTAGCCTTCTTTATTTTCAGCAGAACCCAACGAAATATATTCGATGTGAAAATTTCCTATATGTAAAACAACTTCCGAAAACCACGACCAATTTTGGCTACACTGTTTTGCCTGCCCTCACTCGTTTCCTAAGGCACAGGAAACAGGAACAAACTCGAGTTGTTTGAGAGAGGATCATCTTGCGACGTTTAAGATCTCCACAATTATTTTGAGCTTGTCTTTGTTTGAACTGTGTCGCTAGTTCAGGGCTGTTTGTATCTATTGTTTACGGAGAGCCAAAACAGGAATTAGCTCGAATCTTGAAAAAGTACAAAAGAAATTCCTAAGCAAGACCGAATATGGATGCTACAACTAAATCGTCTTAAAATAACTATGAACTGTAGAAAGTCGGTGAGGAAGTCTCGTCTACAACGGGATAAAAGAAAAATGAATCACACCGGATAACGGCAGGAAATGCTGCAATACACATCATGCTTAAATTATTTGGCACAGAACCAAATTGCTTTAGTACCTTGGCTGGTATGAACAGCGGGATACAAAAATAGATGTCTCGAAGTTTCAAGTTTAACTTTTGTTTATCTTTCTTTGTTTCCTTACATCGATGCTATGTTTACATAAATGTCCGTGTTGAACGATAAATCAAGGCATTTAGGGGCCGGATTTTTTAACTCATGCAGCCTCGCTCATTCTTGCGCTTCAAAGTAGGAAGAGGAAAGTGTGAAATGAATGGAAAAAAAAGTAGACTAATGCATAGGTAATTTTTTGTGCGTTAAAAAAAATTAATTGCCTTGTTAGTTTTTGTTGCATACCCTGGTAAACCAAACATATCATCGACATCAGTTTCTTGCTATGGAGAATCTACTCGGCAACCACTAACTAGACGTCAGTGGGCATAGATACACTGAAAGTAAAATATTTACAATTAGGCAAAAGATAAGTAAAGTATATTGTACAGATATCCAATACAGTCAACACAAATATCAAATTAAACACGCAGCCTTCAACTTCATACGACTAAAAATTCATCGTTCTGCATTTGAGAAGCCCATTGAAATAAACTTTAGCAGTATAACTAGCGGTTAAGTGATAGACAAAAGATTGATTTTTTTGGCAGTTTAAATTCGTGACGTCAATTAAAGGGACTGTCACATCTTGAAGGAAGCCGAAACTTATCAGTTCATTTTCAGTGAGGACACTCGAGAAACCTCTTTAAAGTACACCGGAATACCAGCAATTTATCGTTGTTTTATAGCATTCCTTACCTGAGAGGCCCTCGAGTTAAACTAAAAATATTAGCAATAAATGATATAGGCTCAGAGTAGATTTGCTTTTATTAGACAAGATCGAGCGCCAAAACTACCCCAGGCTCTTTGGCAGAAGGCGGTTGTAGAGCCAGTAACTTACTTTGAAAGTAATCCTGCATCGATATAATGCAGACACTACGCTCAGGAAATGGAATAAAGTAGGAATTAGAATTTTTGGCTCGTGTACAGTTTTGAAAACGGGTGTTAGGAGTGGTAGAACAGCTGAGTGTTTCCGGTTAAAACATTCTAGTAGGTGTATGAAATCGCCAAGTCTTCCCGATGACACCCAATTTCCGTTTCATAACAACTAAGAAATCTTTCGAGATTCGCAACGAAACAAACCGTTGCACCCAAGTTACGAGATGTATTCTTTTGGTTTGTCATTATTGACCGTCAACACGGAAAAGTTGCTTTATTTTCTCGAAAAACAATACCTTACATAGGAGCTTGAATTTTTTTTTTTTACCTTTTCTTTTCGCCATCTGTTATGACGACTTGTTTTCCGAATTATCTCTTCAGCTATGGTATAAATTTTATACGCACTGTAAACAATTAAAACTCGAGCGACATTTTGGAACAACAAGAACAGCTGTACTTTGAGTGAAAACGTAGAGGAAAAAAAAGCCTCCTGCTTTCTGACTGCAAGACAAATGATTTCAGTTTCATTCTTTTCGGTCTATTTTGTCTGCCCAAAACAAGCGCGGCATCTAACTTGTGTTCCAGCAGTCAGAAATACGAATTATAAGACGAAATTGTTTCCGACGTTAAGCTTATTAGCCTTGAAAGGGACCATAACTGGGGACAGTCCAATCTCCTCGCCATCAGCTGGTGTCTAGAATCGATTCTCACTGAAACGTGCTCGAAAATCTGAGGGTGGTATAATGATCATGCGATGTATTTTTAACATAACAAGTAGCTAACAGCAATAAAGTATATTGGACATTGTTTACAAATCTGGATAAAAAAAATCTTTCCGAAACTTTTTAGCGTTTTTCTTTTTTTAAATTCGAGACTTTTGACGCTCGTGGGATTTACCCCTATTCCCTTTCGATCGTGAAATGTGAGAACTTTCATTTAATACACTTATTGGTAGTAATTTGCCTGTGCTCCTGCTGGTTATCTTAATCTTTATATTACCCGCGGGTTTGAAAGAATCACCGTGTACAGATGCATTCAAAATATTTACAACAAGTAAAGCGGGATTCGGTTCATTTTAAGCGTACAATTTTCTTCCTATGGTGCTGGTGATGATGGTAATATATGATGTATGGTTAATGATAGTTTTAACTACGCAATCAGCTCTCAAGATTTATGGAAGCCTAAGGTTAGAGGTTACAGCTGCATGAGTTACTTGTCTGTGTTCATTGTCGTTAGAAGATAAAGGAAAACCATTTGCACGAATGATCGGATGAGTAATTTACATCTCACACCCCGTGTTGACCAATCGCTTTTTGACTTGGCATGTCGGCACGAGATTTTTATCTTGATAATGGCATTCATTTCGCAATATTTTTAATTGGGTCAATTCACCCGTGACCAGTGACTTAAGACCGAAACTGCTTCATAGCAGTATTTGGCCTTGAATTGCAATATCATTATCTTTTGTTTTTCTTTAAACCCCTCCAAAGTTTTTCGTTTGGTTTTCTGGTTTTTTGAAACCGTTTTGAAAGGCTAAACAAAAACGTTAATCCGTGCGTGTTTTGTGCGTGAAACCCAAGCGCTTTGTCTTAAAAAGCTACAAACGGAAAACCCACCAAAAGACTGAATCTTGAGGCACCTCATGTGTGGGTTCAAATAAGCGTGTCTTGCGGACATATAAATGATATATTATTCAAGAAGTGTGGTCAAAATTGCTTCCCTTTCATCTCAGGGATCTTAAAGACATCAGGGGTTCTTCGCGGACTTTTTGGGTTACATTACGACTTGGGAATTATGTGAGAGATCAAAAAGTGTAGAGAAGAAAGGGAACAATAAAACAATAAGTCGAACATGGTATTCTTTCGAGATTTGATATCAGGATTTCATCTGTTTACTAATACGTCACGGATGAATTAGAACAGCTTGTCAAAAATAAGTTTGATCACGTCCCAAAACAAAGAGCAGATTTGTACCTTTAACTGAATAATTTGTCGAGAAACTGCGCTAAAAATAAAATGCTGCCCAAATTGTCATGAGATGAAATAATTAGGAGGAGAATCGTGTTGTTTGGGTGTCAGTCGAAAGAGTTCCCTTTTAGCTGAAGCGAAACCGAAAAACAACAAAAGACTATTCACATATCGACCTCTTGCCTAGCAACGCCACTCAAAGCCTTTGTAACATGCTGGATTGTGATTGGTCATACACATGACGTCACGGAAAGGGATTTTTACCAGACGCATAAAAGTATTATTTCCGCTAAATTTTCGATACGAAGAATAGCTGAAAGGAGGTTTAATTGAGGGCGATCTTGAAGGCGAGAACATCGTCGTTTAAGAAGGTTGGTAGCTTTCTAGGAAAGCACTGTGATAGAGATACCGAGAAAGAAACTGTCTGTCGAAAGAACGGGGTTAATTTGGAACAATACCAGCGAGGGCAAACGAAAACTGTGTGCGTTCAAGGATAAACATTCTATTCGACGTAAACCATGAAGACCGAAATCGAAATGGCTTGTAGATTTTTGACGAAAATCTTGAGAGGGAGTGCAAAGCTGTCAGAGAAGCAGATAGAGGCTTTTCACAAGAAGACGAAGGAGATTTTGTGTGCGAGATACAAGCACCACTGGCATCCGCAGAATCCTTTGTTAGGAAGTGGGTTTCGCTGTATTAGAATCAACCATTCCTTAGATCCCGTTCTCGCTGAAGCAGCCCAAGCCTGTGGTCTTGTCAACAACGATCTTGCTCTCCCCGATGAGCTAACGCTTTGGATCGACCCTAAATCAGTGGCGTTTCGAATTGGGGAAAACGGATCAATTTGCGACCTGGATGAATCAATGATTTCTCAAGAAAACAACACAAGCAAGCCCTCGCCAAAAGAAGCACTGAATTCAAGGAATCAAGAGAGAAGACCAGCCAAGAGAAATAGCATGAATATCCTTAATTGCTCGAAGGATGTGGTCAGTTTTCCAGTATCGTCTTGTATTCCATGTTAGCGTTAAAAAACCAAATCAGAGAGAACTTAAAGTTAAAAATGTTTGTGTGCATATAGAAAATTTTCGGGTATACAAAGATATGTAAATTTCACGTTCGATCGAATTTATTCCTTTTAAGTTGTGTTGGTGTATAAAGAAAGCTCGACTTTGTTAATTTTTCTTTGGCTGGGAATTTTGTAAGATAACAGCAACGACCTGTATTTTTAACTGTATAGAATTTTGTATAAAAGTCTGTACAGTTTGCTGTTCACAGCAATAATAAATTGGATAACACTGAAGCATATTCAAGGCGGTTTACGTGTTATTGTGGTAATTCTTTAGCAGTGTATATTTGCTTTTGGAAAAGTACCAACACGCAATATATCGGGCATATTTATCAACATTTCGCTTATCTGAAGCAATGAGAAGTTAAAAACGAAAGGGCTTTTGGCGGATTTATGGACCTTTATTTAGAATATGTCTTTGTTCAATTATTCAGTGTCCCGATGGAAGGCAAGTCACCTGATTTCACCATGTGTTTCTCAAAGCGATGTAAATGGACACATTGTTTTGTTTCTTTGAATTTACGGGGTCTTATAGGAACTAGTAAGTCTTACGAATTACAACGCTTTTAATTAGAATTGGCACTGCTAACATTAGAATTGTTCGTTGCAGTTCGTACTACGGACTAGCCTGTTTTCGTATCATGTGAAGAAACACGTAATGCAATGAACCTAACACCCTTCAGTGATGCGTGGCGAAACACACCATTTTATGGCTCTAATTGAATATTTATTCCATTTAACATTCCTCAAAACGTTCGTTCGCGATAAAAATTTGCAATGCGCCCAAAGAATCCGAGCATCTCAGTGGAAGCCCCTTATTCATCTGTTATTGCTCTTGTCCATTGTTACTATTTTTGGCGAATTTACTGTGACGTATCGGATGACGCTTAAACAGCTGAGAGGAATGTGTCACGTTTTACAATATCGCGTGCCACCGAGAAGAAGGAGTATTATCTCGAAATGAAAACATTATGATACTCGCATGGCATCCCCGAACACCAAACCCATGTTCTTGATTCCAAGTAAGATCTCAGTAAATTTTGCGCGATATCGAAGCTTCGCGCGCAGACCGTCGAGTCTTAATATATGATTTTGGGACATAATCTGTGAGGGATGATTCTGTTTTGTGCTTTAAAAAAATTATTTAAGATGGGGCGCCCTAAACACTTGTGTTAACTTTAGGTGCGAGAACGCCCTAAACAAAATATTGTTCACATGTAGAGTTCTTTTGTTTTCTTGGCTGCATTGTGTTTTTTTGTTGTTGTTGTGTTGCAGAAGCCACAAAGAAGGTCTTGCAAGGGAAGGAAATCTAATAATTCAGTGTCCTTTGAAATGCTCCCTTTTTCGTTGAAGTTGAATAGGGCTTTAAAAAAAAACGGCCTGAAAAAACAACCCTAGGCCTAGGTATGGAGGGAAACAGTGTACGTACCGCATGCGGTTTTACCCTGAACAAGGAAACAAAGTTTCCTTACCTGCCTTGATAAATTTATTCTCAGGATGAGATAAGTACTAAAAACACTTCGTAAGCTATTTAAGCCAACTTCGTTCTTCTAGAAGACTTAACATAAGACACCACACAGAACAGCTACTATCAGTTTTGAAATTAAGTGATAAATAATCTCCACTTGCACTTAATTAAACACAATACACTTTGTTCGCCTAAAAATGCTGCGTAGCTATTGTTCAGTTCTAACTGAATGTATTTGAAAAGTTTGGGGTGCACTGAGAGCGCTTGCAATGAGGATTGATAACTGGTATTTGTACACATGGGTATGAATGACAATTTTAGTTTGATCTTCATCAGGAGAGTATTTCTTGACACTGTATTTTTAGCAGTCAGCTGTGTTGCATTGCTGTCAGCTATTACTCGGGAATTTTCCAAATTTAAAGTAGTTAACGCACTACTCTCAGATTATTCATTCGATCGCTCTCTATAGTGACCAAAAGGGAATTTCAAGAACATTTTCAAAGAGAAAAATGATGAAAGAAAAAATATTGATTCAGGGACAGAAGTAGCGTCATTAAAATGTACTGCAGATGGTGAAGAGAATTTACTTGTATTCAGGTCTTGGGGGTAAATAGGTTGGACTCAGTTTCCAGGTTGGTGTTTTGAAACATCCTTGATGGAGACAGCCACCAGATGCTTGTCCAAAATTAGTAACTCTCCTCCTTCCACCCACACATACCTTAAGCCACTGTCATCAAGTACATTCACCCCTGATCTCCCAGAGGTGATTAACAAGTAACTTCTCCTTATAATATCCATACATTACCTCGCAAACAGGTAATGAGAATACTCAATTTATCTGGTAGTTACCTTGATATTTTCAGGTTGCAGAATAAGGAGAGGATATGGGATCCACTGGTATGCAATCCTCAAAAATAACATTTCTATTCCTCTATATTTGATTAAAAGTGGGAAAAAAAAAAAAAACACTTCACTGTCCAAGAAATAGTTCCTGCAAGAAGTCACTCAGGAAGCTCTGTCTATGTAAAAAATAACACAAAGTAATGAAAAAGAACAACTTTATTTAAAACATATCATACACATGCATGTACAAACTAAAATCAAAATATCTTAGTTTACTAATGGTGCCAAAAGGAGACAGAAATAACTTTAAGAAATGTGGGATTCCCTTTCCGGGATAAACAATCTCTTAACTACATCCAAAAATCACAAAATCCTCATTTCCTTCGTAACGGGACTAAACTTGATTTTGGCATTAAGGCAAAGATGCCCCACATCTTGTTATCTGAAGTAAGGAACCTTGAAAATGATGCTGCAAACACCTGAAATGTTGAAGATTGAGAGAGGAGGCTGTGATAGTTCAAACAAAAACACTCTGGTATTCTAACCAAAAAAGGTCTGTAGGAGGAAATTCAAAAGGTATCTCTGTAAACTTTCGTAGGTGAAATAACTGTTAACTCAGGTATATATTAATTATTAGTTTTCAGGTCTGGCTAAATTAGTCTGAATAAATAACTACGCAAAGGAATGCTATAAACAGTGACACACTTGTGGATAATAGTGAGATGCAATTTCACTTTTTAGCAGCAAGGCCTTTAAGACCAAACTAATGGTTACAAACACACTGCAACAAAAAATGAAACAAAAAACAACAAAGCAACAAAAAATGAAAAGGTTTCTGCTCAATACCAAGTGAGATCCAAACTAAGAATTTTACTTAACTTAAACAACAACCTGAAAAAGATATATTAATGCACACCCTCCCTGCTTTAAAAGCTCTTTGGAAACAACTGACTTTTATCACTACCACTTCACTCCTTAACTCCCAAAAGTGATTAATATTTAACATTTCCCTATGGTATCCATACATAATCCAGCAAATGAGATAGAATACTCTAAAAGAATAATCAAACTTATCAGCTGGAAGTTGTTGCCTTGATCTAACAACAAATTCTCACATCTAATTTACAAGGAAATCTATAGTAGCTGGGAAGGAGAATTACATGTAGCAATCAGATTTTGGGAGTGAAAGGATTAAATGTATCTTTAGTGAATGTCAAAATAAGAACTGCAAACAAGGGAGGAGTAAGCAAACCTACTGGTGTAATAAAATGTCTTTTACTTCTACAATCATGGTGTACACATGATTCACACATTCTCTTGGAGTTTGAAATCACAAGCTACATATTACAAAGAGCAAATGTCAACTAGGAAAATGGTGGGATAAAAATCTAAGATGGATCTCTTGCTATCAGAGGAAGTGCAAAGGAAATCTGTTTATTCATCGTCATCATCGTCGTCGTCATCATCATCGTCTTCATCATCATCTCCTGCAAAATACAACAAAGCTAACTTAGACATTTGATTCTGTAATTACATTTAGCCAATGTCAATTTAGCCTAGTGATAGAGTGTCTGGGGTTTATGATAAAGTTTTTCCAGAAGCAGTTGCCAATGGTGTAATAGGCAGCTGTGCATGAAAAGGAGCTGTAACCCAAACAAAAACACAAGAACCTGCTTGCAGACTAAACAGACAGTGATAAGAGGTCTTACTGGCCGCGGTAGTCAGATTTTATTAAAACCCCTGAAGTGGGATTAATTTAACACAGAAAACTTCAGTGGCACAAGAGTAAAGATAGAGCCTGGTTAGTATAAAGCTTTAGGTACCTCTCCTTTGCAGTCCTAGATATAATACTGTGATAAAATGTAAATGCAAAAAAGGCAACCGATGACTCTTCCAAGGGCACGCATTTAAGAGAGCCAACTGAAACACATGATTAGTTTCACCTTGCCAGCTGACACAGCTTGTCAGAGAACAAATTTGGACTCCATTATTAGGATGTTCCACTATTTTTTCATCTTGGAGCTTTCAAAAATGTAAAATAAGGCCTCATTATAACCACACTTGGCTCAATCTATAAATCAGTCTGAAACCGTTGCAATTTTAAAAAAAATTAAAAAACCAAGAAAACTTCTTTTTTTAGTGCCCATTTTTAGTTACACAGTAAGTTTTTTTTTTTTTTTTTTTTTAGTTTTGGTATGCTTTTAATTGTCACTTTTCTGAGCATGGAAGCAAGGTCTAAGGTTATACATCTCATAAGGAGTGCAACCTCAAACCTTTAAATTCTGCCCTCTGATGCTCTGGAATCTGTAGGTTAGGGGTTTGATTCCTCATTGGGACTCAAACTGTTTTCTTTAACCCATGCTTGTGACAAGACGAAAAAAAAATTTTTTCTCCTTCTCATAACCAAGTTAAAATTTACAATCTTTCTTATTCTGTTTAAATCTATAACTGTTGTCAACATACCATCATCATCATCATCAGGCTCCTCTTCCTCTTCATCATCATCATCATCATCTTCATCTTCATCATCCTCCTCTTCAGACTCTGATGCTTTAGCAACCTCCTTTTTAGGTGGAGGCTTCTTCTTCTCTGACTTTGCTTTTGGTGGGGCTGCTACCTCCTTTCCAGCATTCTATGAATAAAATGACAATAAAAAAAAACAGGTTACCAAATTAACCTTTCCACTCTCAGCGACAATTAACATGAAACTTGTCCCTATAATATCCATGCATGATCCATAAAAAAGTGATGAAAGTACTCAAACATATTAGGTAGAAGTTTTATTGTGATCCAACGCCAAATTCTCATAACTAATTTTCAAGGAAATGTGCAGCAACCAAAGGGAAGAGTCTTAGGAGATAAAAGGTTAACAACAGGTTGGTGGGCTGGTTGTTTGCATACCGCACTCTCAGAGGTCTAGGTTCGAGACCTGTAGGCACACCATGTTGTGTTTTTGGGTCTGACACTTGAGTCTTACAGAGCATCTCTCAATGTGGAACTTACAGAGCATCTCTCAGTGTGGAAGTAAAAAAGGTTTCCATATTTTAGCAAACACTTACCTTCTTCCTCCACTCTTCCATTGCAGCTTCATGTTTCTTTTTAGCTACTGCCTCCTGCTGTTTGTATTTCTCTTTGTCCTTGTCAGTCATGGTTCGCCACTTCTCTCCAGCCAAGGCAGGAATTTTCTGATTATCGTCAATCTTTTTCCCTTTCATTTGCTCTCGGAATTCAGCAAGGAAAATGAAATAAGCTGTGGGAGCACGCTTTGGTTTATCTGATTCTTTCTTGGCAAGTTTACCACTCTGTGAAGATAGACAAAGACTTAATGTCAGGGTTCATACCCTTTCAAGCTTAAATTTCAGATAACATGATTGTTTGAAGCTTTTTTTTTCCAATTTTCAGATGTTTTCTGCAATCAATAACAATCTCTCTACTCAAGTATATACTTTTTTCACAGAAAAATTGTTTCTTATCATATTCCTTCTTTTTCTCTTACCCACACTTAAATTGAAGGACTTTCCACGACTGGAAAATGACATTATGAAATGAAGTCAAATATTTTGTGGTTTTCCATAACATGTACAGTGCTGCCAGGTAGATTTCAACACAGATTTCCAGGACCAAAGAATAAAAGGGCAGAGTTCTGATTCAAAGTCAGAAAGTTGCTAAACCTACTTGTTGTCAAGCTATTTGTGAATTGTAATCAGACAAGAAATAAGTTTGTAGGTTTTCCCAAAGTCAAATATGTCTCAGACTCCTAGAAACACACCTCACAGATTTTCAAATTTCAATTTTTATTCAAGGCAGTATGCCCCCCTAAACCCACCTGGAAGGGCGTGTTTGTTTTGTTTTGCAAGCATTCATTAAATCAGCCGCCTGCTCAGTTCAGATCATGCATCTATTACATTTTCATATAACAACCCTAGGAAGGTGAATCTTCTATATATGTTAAAAGTTTGGTGTTGCAAAAAGTATTAAATGTTCTTATACGAATTTATATATGTCCCAAATAATGAAATATTTGAAAAAAGGTTCACTTTAGGTTAACTAAAATGGAATTTAAAAGGAGTCTAGTGGTAAATTTCAACATATTTTAGGACATATAGTTAAAATATTGCAAAAATATGAGACAAAAAAATTTTCTTTGAGGTGTAAGTCCATATAACAAATATCAAAATTAATTTCTGCCAAAAATTTTGATACTATTGCATGAGACAAACTTTATGTCAGTCACTAACTCTGTTTAAGATTTTTTTGCTATGCTTTGCTTATAAAATATAATTCCAAGGTGTTATGATTTGAAAGTCTTTCCAACTTTAACTGAAAACATCACAAAAATGAAATGAACTAGGTTATGAATTTGCAATACTACCGTCTAACTGTTCATTTCAAATCTTTCGGACTCCCACAGTTTTCCTTCTTTACCCATTGTAACTTGGCCACAGAATTTCCTAATTTTTACAAAACTCAAACTTGTGAAAGTCTTTCTGTCAAGTTTGACCCATTTGGTTATTAAATTCTGAGAAACTAGATTTCACTGAGATATTTCTACACTCATGTGGTCCAAAAGAAAATCATAAAACAAAAATTTTAGCCTAACATCACTGGGAAAAAAACCTTTGCATGAAATTTATTTTTTAAGAAAAGAAAATGGTGCATAGGTATCTCACTGTATGATCTCCATATATGCAATCAAATTCTTGCAAAAAAAGCTTTTACCTCAAAATAACAGGTTTACACATACACAAAATCAAAACGCATTGTGGCATTAAAGAATTTGAAATTTTGAAATCATTAGAAAATTCTCCTGAAAGAGTTCATACCTTCCTTAGAAACTTAAAATCACGTGACGTCAACACTTACACAGACAAGGAACAGTGGTAAGGTGGCGGCCATGTTGAACTCACGAAGAATGAGTAATTTAACCTTTCGTTTGAGCTTTGTTTTGCCAACAGTGCTTACTAACCTCCTTCAGGTAGCGCTCTTTGTCTTCCTGGGCCAAAATATTGTACGGTTTTTTCTCCTCATCCGTGAGATTTTTCCACGCTTCGCCCGCCATCTTCGCGACTTCATTCGCCTTTGGAAGAGAATCGCCCTTCTTCTCGCATTTCTCTTTGAGCTTCTTTCGAAAATCTGTGGTGAAGTGAATGTAGGCAGAGGAGGCCCTTTTCACTTGGGGTCCGTCTCCTTTAGCCTTCTTTCTTTTCCCATCTTTAACAGTCTTGGCTTTCTTCGGTTTGGCCTTGGACAATGCTGCCTCCGCGGACCTTTTCTTTGACTTCGCTCCTTCGAGTAAAGAAGAACAACATCATGTCTTCGCGTCTTCCTAGTTGTAACGACTTAAAAGTGTCATTTGTCTCCAAATTTTAGCCCTTTCCATCGATAAAATGGCAGTAAAGGTCGAAATTTTAGGTAAGCGTAGGCAACGGTAAGTCCCCGAGGCATAATTTATAGTAGTCGGTGTATTCTCTGAGCGCGAATTTGAATAAAGAAATTCTTAGAAATCGCTTTGAAATTAAACGCAGCAGACATTTTCCGCCGTTTAATCCGAGAAGAAGAGCTTAAAATACAAATGTAGGGTCTATCGGATCGTATTTTGTCGTTTAAACCGAATAAATTTTTTAGCTGACTACGGTCGTGCACACTTCCATATGTCCTATATGCTTCATAAGGCCTCGTATGAGGCTTGTAAGAAATATAAGACAACAAGGGAGAACAATTCATGGAGTCCCTCATAAGAGTTTGACTGAGATTTGAAAATAAAAGAGGCGCAATGCAACAAAATCCCAAGGTTACCTTCCATTTTGCCGGATTTGCGCTTTTCAAGTGTAGAACGATTTGCCTCTTTGCTTTTATCGAGTTTGCGCGGCTGAAACTGTCGATCCGCTAAGGTCTTTTCCACCACCTCACTGCTTCTCTTAGCATAAGAGCACAAGGGAAGAGACGCTTGTAAGAGACAAGAAGGCAAACACGAGGTCGCTGAGCTGACGCGACACTTCTGCGCCTGCGCAGCAGGCCAATTTTTCTATGTTTTCTAATCTGTGCTCTGGGCTATTTGTCATTGTCATTGCAGTGTCTCGACACTAATTCTACGAACAAAACCTTGTCTATTAAAAGAATGGTTTCGTCTTAATCCCACTCTGATCCCATCTTAGATTTTTATAAACAGTCCTTCCCGCCAGTTCATTGCGCCTTCTAAGGGAGGGTGGGGCGTGGGTAGGGCGGGTATTAACTCATCATCGGAGAGAATCCTGAATCCCTTCCAAAATTTTCAGCTCAGCCACGACTCATGGTATTTTGGAATCCACGAATCCGATTCACTCTTCACACCCCGCTCCTTTAGCTCCAGTTTTCCAGTTTTCACGATGAACTCAAGAGTAACTGGCTTTAAAGCAAAGACTCGAGATATTCATTTGCCTTTCACTTTTTATCCGATTTTTTTCTGCCTTAAATGATTAGAACATGATTCATGAATTTCTCTTCTTAGCTTAAATTTATCAGTCGTCAGGGTTTTCTGACGAAATCGTGCAGGTTAGGCAGTTACCACCTACAAAGTTTTCTAGTGTGACTAAATAAAATAAATTTTGTCTTTTTCAGTAAAAAAATTACTCAGTAGGCGCTAATTTTCCTTGGGGCGCGACAGAAACTGTCGGTTTCTGTAGATTCTAATAAGACGCCACAGGCTTGAACCAGTTGGATTAGCATCAGTAAGGAATGCGCTCTCTGTTAATGGAAGTCACGCGACCTATCAACGTGTCTATTAGCACTCAGGATGGGGTCAGAGGTCACATCAATTTACACGTCAATTTTGTCTATATTTAAATACACGAAACAATTTTCTTTGTTCCGACTGGCTAATAAGAGAAATGCAGTTTTCACTTAACATTATGCAACAATGTAACACAGTAAAGAAAAATTGTTTTTGTACGTCAACATAGGCAGCTATCCATTTAGCAAGGCCTTTGACTCTTCTTGCGGTAAAGAAAGTTAGAGACATTTTTGTTTTTATCGAATGCGTTTGTTTCCACCGATCGCAAATTGAATTATTCAGTTGCAAGAGATTCATATGCTTTAGTGTTTGCGTTATCTATGAAAAACCCTCTCAAGTTTACTGTAAATAAGTAATCACGTGATTTTCTCGTGCCCTTGTCGATCTTTAACAGACACTCATAATCCTTCTTTCCAAAGTCTTTAGATAGAGATCGCCCTACTGGCGCATGTAATTTTGTTGGTCCTTGATAATGATTACTCTTGCTTATTTATTCCAAATTGTTCTTGAAATCATGTGATTTCAAGAACATTAGGGAAGAATCTTGTCTGTATAAATTGATAAACGCAACGAGGGTAAGGTGAGCGAGGGGATGATCAAGGCCAAGGTTTGTTCGTTCTTAAATAAATTCACCAGGGTCAGTGTGACTAGCTATTTCGCCAAAGGGAATGGAAATTAAAAATGTCGAGATACTTCGCTACCTATTCCATGACGAATGGGCCACGAAGAAACCCAAGAGACGAAAGAATGGAAGCCGTCTTCTATATTTGAAGCACCTGCCGTTTTAAGGGAGTTGAGGCGAATCTCAATTATTGAGACCAACAACGGAACATTAACTCGACGTTAGGTCGTAACAACAGGGGCTTTGACTCGAAGTATAATCCTGAACAATCACCTCAAATGTGAATAGGTAACAATTAAGTCAGCTTACAAACCAAATGACCCATGGAACCTCATTCCGCTTTTTCTGGCATCAAGCGACCAGTGGCATTGTTTACCTACTCCTTCCCCCCCTCCCCCCTCAGGATGGAATGCTTAACCATTACAGGTTAACCCTCACCTTAAGGAGAAACAGACACTACGAGAGTAAGAACACATCGGAAAGATCCGGTCAGGGTTCTAACCCGCTAGTTTCGTCCCGGAGTCCTGAGTGTTAACCGCTAAGCAACTGCGTCCCAACACATTTCACCGCAGTGGGGTGGGGTGCTCTTGGACTCCCCCCTCCCGGCTAATAACTAAAATCACTGAAATAAACCCGCACGATACGTATGAGTGTCATGTTATTCCTTGGTAAGAAATATTCACATATTTTACAATTTCGAATGCTCAAAGTTTTAGGTAAGAAGAATTAGGCTCGATTTCCGCTGCTCTACCGAGGGCGCGAGTCCCGACATCATGGGCTCATTTCCCGACCAGCGACTGGTTATAGTCTATGATGATCCACTTTGAAAGTTTTACGACGGTGTCCCCAATGTAAAACATTTAATGCGAACAACATCTTTGCTGGTTATGTCTTTGACTTAACGACAAGATTGCAAGCAGGCTTGTGTTTGCTCCAGTGTTTGACTTGGCATTCCCTAAGAGAAAAAAAGCCAAAGTTAACAGAAGTAAAAATTTCCATACACCGTAGACTAAAGTCTGCGAACAACGTCGGCAAATTCATGCATGTGATTATTGATAAAAAGATTGCCATTAGGCAAAATGAAAACCATCATCATGGTCAATCAGAACAACATGGAGCGAATCAAAACTCAAAATTCATACACGTGACCGGTCACAAGCGCGGGAAAAAAGTGGGTGGTAGGTTTTTAACTCTTATTGGTTGAGAAAGGCGCGGTTTTTCTTGACCAACCAGAAGCGTGGTAAATAAAAACCAAAGTACGGTCATATTCGAAAGTAATCCAGCCAGAAATCCGTAGTCAGCGCCAGGGAAATGGAATCTCAACTTCCGGCTATCGTCCGTTTGTCAAACACGTTTCACTTATAATAACCTCTCTATCATTTTACCTCTTGCAATACCATTCAGTCTGACATCTTGAACACCGCTTTGTCGCTGGCAGACCACACGAGGCACATTTTGGAGGCTCGCTGACAAGTTCCTCTAGCATGTCCAAATTGTACGTGTCTGCCCACCTAAAAACAGACAAAGAGAATAACCAGGAGAAAACTCTTGGAGCGAAAAGAGAACTAACAACTAACTCAAATCACAAACCCAACAAGCGTACCCCTTTGAAAAAGAGTTCCTCCTGTAGCCAAAATTTAAAATAAGTGCTCTCCGCTTTAAACGAGTAATTTTGTTAGCCGAACTAATAGACAGCACAGTTATCATTCAAGTACATCAAAAGGTTTTTAAACATCTTTTTCAATAACATAATTGTAACATTGAGAGTTATTAAGTATAAAATAATTATTGTCAAGTATACTCACATTTTAGCCTGCTTTTTAATATCCTCTGCTGAGGGCGAAAAGAAAGCCTTTTTCTGGTATTTTGCAAACCTCTCCCATTTGCCTTGATTGTCCTTTAAAAGTTTCTCTCTAATTTCTGGAACCTAGTTTTATTTTTTTTTTATAAATTAGAAAAAAATAATAATGAGAGAGGGGATCAGAGAAAGTGAACAAAACGTTTGGCTTTTAAAATCAAGCACAATTCATTTACCTGTTCTAAAATAATGTCCTTTTTTATTGCTGGTGGTTCCATGATGGACAGTTGCTCAAGATATCGTTGCAGATCTATCAAGCTGGGAATCTGATCCAGAAGAACCTCATTCATAAAACCTCGCAGCTGAAAATAAAGCCAAGAAAATCAATTGTCAATGACAATATGGACATCACCCTTCAACCAAGCTGCTGATTAAAAATACTACTGGAAGCAACAATTTTTTAAAAGTTTCCTTAAGACCACAGGGGTGGATTTAGGAAGTTTCATGTTGGGATGGGGGAGGAAATCCAAACTTTGATTCAGAAAGTACATAAATGTTTTTTTTTCATTACAGTCCAAATAGGTAAAGAAATATTTTAAGACATGTTAATTCTATATGCTCTATGTTGAGTATTGACAGTTGATCCTGTCACTGCCAACATTTTGATGACAGACAAGTAGTAAAAGGAAACCCATTGGTCTGAGGGGGAGGGGGAGGGGGAGGGTGGAGTTCTGGAGCCTCTGAACCTCCCCTCCAACTGGATCTGCCCAGACTGTACCAAGTATATAGTTATTGCTAAATAAAATAAAGACGTCAGTGCAATTACCTTTAATATTTGCTCCTTGCTATAAGAGTTAAATTCATACTTTCTTTGACAGTCTTCATTCATGAGAAGTTGATGAATGGCAAGCCAGACCTAGGGATAAAACACAAATTTTAAATAAAAAATCTTGAATTTTTTTATCAAAATCCTAATGCATGATTACTCTGTTAGAAACAAATTGATTCCAAATGGCAACTAGAACTAGAATAAAAATGATCAGCAAAACAATATACAAAGCCGACAAGTGATTAGCATAAAGGAAAATATAAATTAGGAGATTATCAGTTGATCCAATAACAAATTTCCAAGGCTAACATCATAATTATTGTTTGACCAATAGAAAGGAGATTTGGTAAATAAATGAGATCTTGTGTGTGAAAGGAAAAACTTACTTGTCCCTCTGTTTTGCTAAGCTGAAGTCTTTCTCTTTCTGATATCTCTTTCCAAGCATTATCAATGAATTTCATCAATTTTCCTGGAGTTCAAAAATGTAAAACTATTAAAATAGATCATAAAATATGCACACCATAATTTCACCTTTATACAGGCATACAAGCAGGACTGAAGTTATTAGAGACTGGGAACTGGCATAAGCTGCTGCAATGGCTTGCCATTTAGGGTGTTTCTTTGCATGGCCTTTATTTTCCCACTGTTGCAACCCAATGATTCTTAAAAAACAGTTCTAAATGTTTACAAAAAGGGTCACCTTTGTCTCTTTTTATCCAAGGAGGATTTTCTACCAACTGAACAAGCACTACAGGGGTATCTGCAAGTGTGAAACAGGAAAAAAACTAAATTTAAGGGTGTCTTTAATTCTCTCAGTTAAACTGCTATCTCTCTACATATTCAAGCACATGACAAGAAAAACACTTGTATTTGACATACACTGAACAATTATATAGCCTATTGAGTTCATTTTCTTTATGAAAAATTCAAGCTAATCATTACAACTGTATTTATCAAGGGATATTTTGCTTCTTAAATTTTGTCATAGCTAATTAATTAATTGGTAACAAGAATCCTTGCTGCCAATTCTGACTGTGATCATACTCTGGATTAACCCTATAGCTACTAAGAGTGACCAGCAACTAATTTCTCCTTACAATATCACCCTTGAATCACTCATTGAGGTCACAAGAATAAAGCAAATGATTACCAACGAGACAAGTTCCTCATTGTTAAACTAGTTCTCCTTGTTGGAGAAAAAGCTTGCTGAAGTGAAGGTGTGAAGGTTTAACAAATTATCAATCAGTTGTAAGATTACAGACCAAATTGTACTCCTCTTAGTCAACATACTATCATGACAATAGAGACAGGGTAACAAACAGTTGACACTTACTATGTGTGTTAAGTAGCCTTGTCATGACACTCAGAGGTAGACTACAAAAAAAGCAGATCTTTACCATCACAGGCCTTATGAAAGTTTGGCAAGTGAGTGGGAAAAAGGTTTAAAAAGTCAAATTTTCTGTCTAATTTGTAATTCACCTTACCTTGATAAGGAGTCTGTGATGTATCTAAGAATTGACACAGACTTGACACAAACAGTAAAGAATATTGTTTTATCTTGCTTCTTTAACTCCTGAAAGAACAGAGAGAAAACTTTCTTACAAAGTCACTATTCAAGGTAATAGAGGGGGTAAGTTTCTAAACAAACTGCAGTGCTGTGTTGGTGGGAGAGTATAGCAGGTAATTTAGTGTTAACAATTGAGTTGAAAATGTGAATTGGCCACCATAAAGAGTTAAAAGGCTGATATTTCAAGTGTTAGCCCTTCGTCAGAGCAATTGATGAGGGGCTGATGCTCAAAATGTCAGCCTTTTAACTCTTTATGGTGGCCAATTCTCTATTCAAGGTGTCAAATAGGCATTAGGAAACAAAGACTTCTGTGACTAACAAATACAATTCTATGGCAAAAATGCGATGCCTAACATCATTATCTACATTCTTTATACTCTCCTTGATACATTTCCTTTAGTGCTGATAAGGAGAATTTGTTCAACAATCAAGAGGTCCTTTAGTTGGTATCATTTCCTTTATTCTTGTGACCTCGATGTGTGATTCAGGGACGATATTGTAAGGACAATTTAGATGTTGGTTATTCTTAGAGGTTAAAGTGTTAAGAAGTGGTGAATACACTACCCAATTATTATTTTAGCACATCATATTCATAGAATGGTTAAATAACGAAATACCTCTATGCTTGAAAGATCATCACTGGAATCTGTCAATTCTCCATTACTAGAAAACTCATCATGTCTGTAAGTTTGGGTTTAAAGTTTTACAATCAATAAAAAATCAGTTGCTTGTTTCAAAGCTTGCCAAAAGGAATCAAATTCAATTGAGAGCATAACACAAACTGACAAATATGATTTGAAAAACATCATTGATGTTCCCTAAAAACAGTCCAATATGTGGTACGTACTGTGCAATAAGCAGTGATATTCTTCTGAGGCAGTAATCAGCAAGGTCAAGAATGCTGTCACCAGCTGCTTCACATGCTTCCTATGGATACAATATGAGGTCTATACTGTAAGCTTTCACTTTAAATCGATAATTTTAGAGAATTTGCATTGCGAAGACACAAATTGCAAACACTTATTACTCTCCAATAGATCTGATTTTCCAGTTACCATAATTTTTAAGGTAATGACCTAGATCTCGGGCAGCAACACAAAAGACTTGCTTGCATACCAGGGCTATTTATAGGAAAAGCTGAATCAATATACATGCATTTCGATTGGTTCTCAATTGACTTATGGTCTATTGAAGGACAGATGATACCACTCTCAGCCTTACCTTATGATAAAGAATAGTTTCCAGCAGGCTGATGACTGTTGCTTCATGAAAAAGCTACATAATGACAAAAAAATGACAACCTTTTTAAAACTCAAATATAATTTTAATTAATACTAACACATCAAGCAGTATTTTTCTTTTCTCCTGCTTTCTAATTTATCATTGCAATACCACAAAATATTTTTTTCAAGTTAGGAGATTTTTGAGCTGCCGAGAAGCAGTGTTAATCACAACTTTCACAATGATCAATACCTTTCAGACTGTAGAAGATCTTAGTTTGTAGATCTTAGGTTATGTTGTTATTATCTCAAGGGGATGAATGGTCCACAATAGCATGCATTTCTTTGCCCATTTTTTTTAAGCCCAAAGCGACTGTGAGTATTTATGTCTATCCCACTAAAAGGTGGATGGCTCAAGCCCAGAACCTATCAATTTAGGATTCAGCTTGCTAAGCATTATGCAACAATGTCTTCCAGATGCAAATTTCAAATCAACAGGAATACCTAAAACTAGTACAGATTGTAAGGAATGTTGAAGATTCAAAAGAATTCTTAAAAGATTATACCATCAGGTGAACATGAGCATGATTGTAAAACTTACCACAAAGTAAATAGGTAAGGTTGTTGTTGGGTTGAAGCCTAACTCCAAGATTTTTGGAAACACTTTGTCTTTCCAAAGCTCCACTGCTAGCAACTCATGAATCAGAACAGGGATCTGTTTGCAAGAAAAGCAACCAAGGTAAACTAAGCAAAGTTAGCAATGGAGCTGTGCAACTAATCTGGCTGGAGCTCATCCTTGCTTTGAAATTCCAAGCATTAAATGGTTGAGAGTATTTATGGTATGCTTGTTACCTCAGGTTATTCCTCTTCCCCTATTTTTTATCCCAGCCTTTAACTCAAAAGAGTGACTAACAACTGATTTCTCCTTACAGGGTTGTAATATACCTTTGTATACAAAATTAGTATGACTACTATGGTTATTCTCTAGATGGAATGTTCTTTGTTTGTATCATAATTATGTGCAGTTTGTACTTAAAAATAGATTTATTCATAGCATGTGAGAGTTTAAAAAAAATTAGACCATTGAGTTGCTTAATAAACTTTGTTCTTAAAAAGAAAGCTTGCCTTGTCCGAATGTTTGGAGCAAGAAAAGCCCCACATGAGGAAAGATACAGTATCACCCCTGAATCAAACATGAAGGTTATGAGAATAAAGGAAATGATCACCAACTAAAGAAGCTCATGATTGTTATACAAACTCTTCTTGTCAGTGTCTTAGGGAATGTATACAAAACAGTATGGAGAATATGCATACTGATGTTAGGGTGTAAGGAGGATATGACAGAGAGGAGGCGAGAATGAAGTGACTTGCCCATTAGATCACAAACATTGACCAGCCCTGGTCTCAAACATAAGGTTTTAATCCATTCCCCAGTCTGCCAGGAGTGCACAGTTGCAACTAATTTACAAGGAAATATGTAGCAGCTTGAGGGGGGAATTAGCATTCAGCAGCAGATCCTGGAAGTTGAAGGTCAATATCCAAAAGTCTGGAACTCATGAGTGTGTGCTTGCAGTAGTGCCTCTGGCTCAAGTAACAGCTATTCATGAAATGCTATGATTCTTACAAATATACATCATACAAATGTATAATAACATATTCATGAAACTAATTATTTATTAATTATTAAAGTAATTATTTTTAACAATTTAATATTATTAGTTATAAACAAATGCTAGGAATAAATTCAGTTGATTTTGAGTGGGTACCTTTTCCAAGGTTATCAGCAGTTCCTTGATAAATTCATCTGCCTGCGACGAAGCACTTATAATGGCCTGTTAAACCAAATAAAACAATAATCTTTAGCAAGCCCTTAGGTTTTCATCTAATTTTGCACAATTTACAGGTATTTAACAGATGTTTTACCCAATAATGATTTGCCTAAGGGCTATCAACTAAGCACACAATCTCACCTGCATGTTAAGTTTTTCTATGTATTCATGTTGACTCATCCATCTGTAAAAATAAGAAGGACAAATTAGTTAATAATATATATACCTTCCTATAGTAACAAGTCTTACTAAAAAAAAATGAGTGATCAAAATCTGAAGTAAAGTGCACAAAGCTCTTAAAAAAAACTTAGTATAAGCTCACTTTGGACTTCCTATTTCCTTCAAAGAATAAGTTTTTAGCTCCTCTATGTACAATTCTGCCTCTGAAGCCAACAAAACTTGCTTCGTTTCCAAGTTCGAGTTGCCCGCCATTTTGTTTTGAAAATTGCCGTCATGGAAATACCGCTGGAAGACAGCAATCTTCTGCGGGCACCAACATGGTCCAACATGGCAGACCAGACAGAAAAGTCGAAGGAAGAACATAACACCAGTGCTGCCAAGGTAAGGATTCCCGCGGTTATTTTTTAGTCCGAGGAGATTTTTAACTTCTAACTTGCATCTTTTATTATATGAAAATTAACCTATTATGTTCTTATTGATTAAATTTGTTAAGAACACCAAGCACTCAGAAAAACAGGGTGCCTCAAAGTGTGATATAATTTTAAGGCGCAGATGCCGTGGCATTCGTCTGTATAAAAAGATACTTAGCTCTCCTCAGTCATCTACAGAGCTAAATCTGAACGTTTCGTTATCCCTTATGATAGGCATATCACTTTTTGTTTGTGTGTGTGATCGAGACTTATTCATGGATAACCTTTCAACCCTCTAGACTGATTGGCGTCTGTAATATCCTTACAGTATCACCCTTGAATCAAATGCAAAGGTGATGAGAATAAAGGAAATTATCACCAGTTTGGTCAGCTACTGATTGTCAAATAAGTTCTCCTTGTCTGTGCGAGAGGAAACGTTAAGAGAACAGTGTGGAGAATATTAATACCAAATGAATGTTAAAGTTTAGTTAAGGGTGAAACTCGGGTGCAGTCCTTGTTGTCTGGACATACCTGTGTCATTCACTGGATAACATCTTCTGTTACTTAAAACATCTTCATTTGCATCATTTTGAATTTCCTAATTTGTTATGGATATTTGTTATTCAAGGAACTTATCTAACTCTAGAAACCACCCAGCATTCCTTTTCGTGGACTTAATGAACTGAAAAGTTTCCCTTAAAGTTATGGGCCTGAAAAGATCAGAAGAGTTAATAAATAAGTTAATGAATTTAAAATGAAGAGGAAGGAAAAAGGTGATCTGTAATTTAAAAAAATTCAGTGATAGGCAGATAAATTTTCTCTTAGATCTTTGCTTTAGTTTCTGAAAAAAAAAAAGGAACAGTCTGAAAGAATTGTTAGCACTGTTATTCTCTTTAAGGTGAATTGTCTCTCATGTTGTAGATACTTTTTTTATTCACAAGCATTCAATAAAAAGATATCTTTGATTCTTTCTTTGTCTTGGTAATTTGTATTTAATTTTCCAAATGTTGTCTCATAGACTCAAGAACTTTTGACACGGTTCTCCAGTACTGTTTTTGCGTTTGACACATCTCCAGACACGAGATACGTACGATGCGACTTTCCACAGTGCAAGCAGCATTCAGAAGCCTTGCAAGGTATTGTCCAAAACAGGACTACATTACTTACTAAGATTAACACCCCCTAACCCTTTGACCTTTGAGATTGACTAACACCTAATTTCTCCTTACAATATCACCCTTGAATCAAACATTTAGGTTATGAGACTAAAGGTAACAATGACCAACTGAAGAAGCTCTTGATTGTTAAACAAATTCTCCTCTTCAGCACCTTAGCAAATGTATAGAGAACAGTATGGAGAATATGCATACTGATGTTAAGTGTAAAAAGTTAAAGGTTTGTTGGGTAGGGGTATAGTTAGTTGTTTGGACGCGATAGATGAATTCGTTAAGATTCTAGAGTAAAATCTGCAAAACATCCTAGATTGGATCCTATTTGTTTCTTTCATAGTTAAAATCACTTTACCTGAAATTTTAGCCATTTATCTTCTAGGTAAGCCTTGCTGGCTCCTCAATACCATAAAGAATGTAAAAGTCCTAGAAAGACATGTTGGCAAAGAAGTTCATCATTATATGAAAGAAAAGGATTCTGGAACTGATGATGAATTCAGCAACTCTCATCTTGTTGATAGCAATGATTTTATTGAGAGGCAATGGTTACCTGAAGGCGTCAGAAAGGTATGGCTATAATTAAGAAAAATATTTAATATTTAATACCATTAGTTGACACAAATAATTAGTTTAAACAATTTCACCCTTTAACCACTTCACTCCTCAAGGTGACCAAAAGAGGTTTTCCACAATCAATATCAATACATTTCCAAGCAAAAAAAATTGAAAAGAAGAAAGGAAAAGATCAACCAGGCAATATTGTTTGATTTAATACTAAATTATTGGAGCTTAAGTTGTAAGAGATGTATGGCAATAAATGTAGTGAATGAATGAAATGATTATGTAAATTGTGAGATTGCAAGGGTTAACCCCCTCATGTTAAAGCATGTAACATTTCCTTGCAATATGTATATGTTATCTACAGGGCAGGAGGCCAGTATGGGAAAAAACTGTGCTAAGGTCTCCAGTAAGACCGACGGCGCAGTTATTTTCCCATACAAACCAACCTAGACCAGTAAATAACTTACTATTTATTTTTTTCTGCTGGTTGGCTTTTTTCTGTTTTGCTGTGCAAAAAAAGACATCTAGACTGTATTGTAAAGAATTAGACTAGGTACAAGCACACTATTAGCCAATCAAATTTGAGGATTTACAATTCTGGCCTGCTGAAATGCTTCAGAAACAAAAATACAATATGTTATCTTGGAAACAGATGATTACTCAGTAGTAATAAGCAGTAATGCATGTAGATCATGAGTGATGTGAAAATGTGTTAAGATTAAAATTTAAACACCTTTCATTAGTTTAGCCTTTCATTCATTACTTTTATTTTTTATGCAGTGTGTTCAAACTTATTTTCTATCTTTCGTATGGGATAGCTTATCTTTTGACATCTCTCTAGGTGCTTGCGGTGTTTAATTTAAAAGACCCGCAGTCCCAGTTTGGTGATTGGATTTCCTTGTTCCTGAAAGCTGCTCTTCTGGCTGAAGGTATGTGATGGCATGATAAGGGTGAGGTGTTATATACTAACAGGGTAGTTTATTATTATCAACTGAGTTGATAAGGTAAGTTGGCCACTGTTAGCCTTTCATCATCACTCTGACGAAGGGTTTATGCTCAAAATGTCTGCTTCAAAACTCCTTACGGTGGCCAATTTACGTTAGCGACTCAGTTGATATTACTAAATTACCTTGTTATACTCTCCCACAGACTCAGCACCACAGTTTCTTTAGAAACTTACCCCCTGTTAAATATTAAGTCCATTCTTGAGGATTTAATTTTGTAAACTATAGTTTCAGTAAAATTATTTAAACTCAAATGCAATATTCATGTTTTGATTGTTGTTCATCACTGAACACTTTGATGGTTAATGATAAGACACATTGTGAACTAGTGAGCGGCATGCTGGACTCTATCTGTGACTACTTAGAGGCAAATAATCAGGCAAGAGGGAAATAAAATAGTGGTTTCACTTTGACATGAAAGTTTAGTTAATGGGTGAGAGCCCTGCCTCTCTCACTTGTCAATTAAACTTTTGCATCAAACTATAACTGCTGTTCAATCTTCGTCTTGCCTGCTGACCTGCCTATGGATCTCTGAAGATGTGTGGCCTTCAGATGTAGAGATTTTGAATCAAGCCCTGAAAAGGGTTATAGTGGTGGGTTCTTAGGCAGGGTTCTTAGGCATTTACCTCTTACATTGCCTTTCTTAACTTCCGCTCAGGAAGGTTAATGGGACCGGTTAACTGTCTGTGAATCTTCATGATTTTCTGGGAAGAAAGAAACCTGTAATAAACTTGCATCCCATCGAGGAACAGTCGCTGTTGTAGTAGTGATAAGTGTTATCACTTCACTCCACCACTTCTGAGACAGACTCTTGTTGCTACATGTATGTAATATAGTCTTGTATGTAGACTTTACTTATAGTTATTGACGTTAGTTGGTCAATCATCCAGGGACACACAACAACAATTGTGTGGTCATAACTCAGAACTTTGTGAGTCGTCAAGAACTAATGGAATCCATCGCAAAGCTGTCATTCTTGAACAGTCACTGGCCAACAGGTAACAATCACTGAGTGTAAAAGCTGCTTCTATTAATCATTCAGCCATTTATCAATTATTTTAATTGGTAAAACCATGATTTAAATTCCAAAAAATGCATTAACAATATTTTTGAAACATGAATGAAAGACAGTCGCATTGTACAGGCTGAGATCACTTATGAGTAACAAGTAAATTCCATGTTGCTATGGGTCTGTACCGTAATAGATCACTGATGAACTTAAAATGTGGTAAGAACAATACAGGCACACTCAGCTGTGCCATGTGTGCCACTTTTGTTTTGTACCACATTTCCATGTTGTATGTGAAGTATTACTGGGCAGATGCATGACAACATGGAATCATAATATTAACAAAAAGGGTTCTTTACCTCTTTAAAGCAACCACCTTTGATATCAATTATCGTCACATATGCCAATTCTTTTAAAATTAAACACCTAATAACCCCAGCTTGATGGTTTAAGGGTTCTTTACCTTGGTAAAGCAACCACTTTTCATGCTAATTATTGTCACATATGCCAATTCTTTTAAATTAAACACCTAACAACCCTGATTTGATGGTATTAAAAAAAAAATTTCATCAATAAGAAATATTGGCTATTTAAATTTGGCACTTGATATAAAATGTGAGCTTCTCTTACAGTTGAAGTTGTTGCAGTATTGAGCTGCCACTCAAGTTGTCAAGGTCAAGTTTTTTCATGCACTCCATTCGCCATTGGAAAAGAAAGTGGATTCGAAGAATTTTGTTCTCTTCACGACTTTGTGATGGCCTGCCAGACAATGCTGGAAGATGCTCTGGTGGCTACACACATCTCATCTTGTTTCACATTGAAATTAGATTGTTCTCATGCAGTAAGTTTCTTTCTTATTAATGATTGAAGAACGGGAGACACTGGATAAAGAAATCACTCCATTTCGTCATGGTGACGAGTTGATGCAGAAATTTGCTTTAGGTCGAGAAAAATCTTTGCTCTTGTGACAGCTTTCAAACCTCAACAGAGTTAGACAAGTTAAACTTGGTTTGAATTTGTGCAATGTTTGCTATGTTAAAATGTGTCCAGAGACATCTTTCTGTGGTGGTAAGCATAGAATCTGTTTCAAAGTAGTTGA